ACCTATTGCTACAGTCCAACTATGAGGTTTCAGAATTCAGAATAAGTATACAGAAATTATGCAACAACTTTTGAAGGAAAAATTGTAAAGACTTGGCGATCTAATGTGTGAAAGTTGGTATGGTAGATAAAACACATAATATCTTTGCTTCAACAAGCTTAGTGCATGAATTTAAACTGGTTTACACTGTCAAAAGATGCAGAAACAATGTATCTCACAATTTCAATGTTCCAGCTCCTAAATTCACTCAAACAAGTAACCTAACCACCTAAATTTTGACTCATATGTTTAAACAAGTTGTGACTCACAAATTTATTATTAAAGTTTTGGGTTAGAAATAATATTTAATACTTTATATGATTTAATTCATAACTCATTCGTCTTAAATCTTTTTTATATATATGGATTATCTCATTAGGTCTACTTGAAGAACTCAACTATGATTGGATTAACACAACAATAACAAAAAAGAAATAATAAATAAAAGTATATGGTATATAGTATAGACCAAACGGTTAACACTCAGGATCGCTCGGTCCATCCTCTACATCAACAATGGTCAACTAGGTTAAATGATTTTATTGATGTTGGGCCACAATTGGGCCATCGTTTAAGTTATTATTGGGCCAAAAGTCCAACAGATGATAAAATAATAGTAGAATGATTAAAAAATATTAATTAAAGATATCTAATTAAAGATATTGATAAAATGTTTATGAGTAACTAATCGAATCTAAAGGCAAGCTTGTTTTTATTGGATCTATGCTAGTTTAGGATCCATGGGATGCCTTATAAATATAAGTCAAGGCCAAAAGCTGGTATGTTCTACTAGATCCAAAATACTCAATTGTGATAAACAATCCACTAAACCACACCTAACTTGAGCGTTAAAGTAAATTTTGTAGGTACCTCACCCCCCGGTCAAGAGTGAAAGTGTTCGGAGTAGGCGACTCAAGCACTGGAAGGCAAGAAGGCTACGTCAGAAAGGTATATCTCTTAGCCCTACACATACCCATACAAAATCATTTTGGCATCCACCGTGGGACCGAGAGAGGCTGAAGAAACCTAATGGTGACCACGAGAAACATGGAGGAGCAACAGAGCACCAGAGAACTGATACGAGATATGCAAACATAGATGCAGGCTCAGGCACACATGTAGTTGGAGATGCAGCGAAAACACGAGGAGGAGATTACGACATTGAGGGCAGAACGAGGTCGTCCTGTGCAGTCTGCTAAGCACTCAGCGTCGACAACCCACATGGATCACAACCGCGAGAATGAAAATGATGCAAGTCGTAATCGACAACCATCCCATCACACCAACCCGAACGGTCGAGAAAGAAGGGAACCAACGCCCTTGCAAACCGTTCGGCCTACCAGTTTACTCCTTTTACGTCGACCATCATGCAAACTCCAATGCTAGAAAAAACTCCTCCTGCATTGGATAAATATGATGGATCAACTGATCTAGATGATCACCCTAGGATGTTTATTAATGCAATGGCATTTTACACGAACAACGACCTAGTCATATGCAGAGTCTTCTCATTATAATTCAAGGAGGAGGCATTCGAATGGTACAACACTCTTCCCCCAAACATAGTGGGTTGTTTCACTATTGTGGAAACTCTCTTTAGAAGACAATACATGTCCAATCGGAGACAGGAGATGACACCAGCGAAATTGATAAATACTAAACAAGAGAAGGAGGAAACTTTGAAGGCCTTTATGAAAAGGTATAATGAAATTGCATGAGTTAAATATGTTAATCACACTTTTATCATCAACAATTTGCCTTCATGCAAGACCAGAATATTTTGCTGAAAAATTATATGCGCGACCGCCTAAAACTATGGACGAACTCTAGGAGAGAGTTGCCGAGTTTATCCGTATTGAACACATAAGACACTTAAGGAAAAAACAACAACAAGAAATCAATGTAGAAAGAGAAAAGAAAGATGACAAGGTTGGCAGTAACAATAGGGTTCCTCGTTTAAAGGATTTTTCCCGAACGCCCACGTTTACTCATTATACAACTCTTAATGCACCAAGAGCAAAAATTCTGGATGAAGCCCTTAGTGCTGACCTCCTCTTAGTAAAAACCGCTATTACAACTAGAAACGCGGATGGAAGGAAGCATTGTCAATATCACCAGAACCTGGGATATAGTACTCAAGAGTGTTCAACACTAAAATATGACCTCGAGAAGCTTATCTGGGAGGGTCATCTCCATAAATATGGTGAACCAAGAGAAAGCACAAATCAGAAGTTCGTCAAGAAAAAGGTCTCCACGGAGAAGTCCCGAATGATCATATAGAAAAAGAGGAATGAGGACATAGGCAAAGTTGCAGCTGTAGTCGTAGCCCTGACCGCTCAGTTCGTGAGCACATCTATAAAGTGTAATACAAAGGTCAAACCGAGAGGTTTCCGAGAAGGTGACCTTAGGTGGCAGAAAAAAGGAGAGGCCAGGATGAACCGAGCACATGGATGGGGAAGACCATTTCGCATCACAGGATTTGATGAATGGAGCCTGTCATCTTGATTCAATGAATGAGAAAGCCATTCCTAACACTTGGAATGTGAATCGTCTTAAGTTTTATTTTAGTTGAATTTTGATGTCATGTTTTGTTTCGATTAAATTCCTTTGACAAGACCTGTGTTTACACTGTTGGTATGAATAAAACCAAACAGTTTCCATTCAATCACAGGTATTCGGCCATTCGGCCTCACAGTGCAGTTGACAGAATCATGCACACAAATCACTTGGCGAATCGAGAGCTTACCGTTTGAGCCACCTCAAAAAACCTAGGGAATGTTATCCGAAAAACTCCTGGTCCAAATCGAGGTGATAAAAGTTCTCAACAAACTGTAACTCTTGTCTAGAAAACCCAGGGAATGTTATCTAAAAAACTCCTGGTCCAAGCCGAGGTGATAAAAGTTCTCAGCGAACTGTCACTCTCGTCCAGAAAACCCAGGGAATGTTATCCGAAAAACTCCTGGTCCAAACCAAGGTGATAAAAGTTTTCAGTGAACTGTCACTCTCGTCTAGGAAACCCAGGGAATGTTATCCGAAAAACTCTGGTCCAGACCGAGGTGATAAAAGTTCTCAGTGAATTGTCAGTCTTGCATACAAAACCTAGGGAATGTTATCCGAAAAACTCTTGGTCTAAAACCGAGCAGCAAAGTCTCGTAAACAAAACCCATGGAATGTTGTCCGACAAACTCATGGTCCTAAACCGACAGGCGAGGAACCTTCTCAATGATTGTGCCTATTAATGTTATTACAGTCACCTTCTTATCTATTTTGTAGTTCACAAGATAGTAAAGCACCTATAACTCACCAAGGACACCTCTTAATATAAATTTCTCATTTTGGGCCTTAAACGTCCAATCAAATAACAAGCGGTTTCGCTTGATTGGTCATCCGGCTTTATAGCTTAAACTAGCTTGTGCTGATAGCATAATCCTAGGGTTTACCGCTCGGCCTAGCAAAAAGTTCCAAAGAGAACTTCTAGTGCCTTCGCTCAAAATAGGAATAAGTTCTAAGAGAACTTCTATCACTCACCGCTCGGTTCAGCCTTGCTAGGAAGGTTTAGTTAGATAACAGGATCTTAGCGTCTACTGCTCAACATGGGAAAAAGTTCTAAAAAGAACTCCCATTAGTCGCCACTCGGCCTAGAGTCCACCGTTCCAACTAGAGAAGAGCAATGACTTAAAGCACATTGAAAATAAGCTCCCAATACAATGACCCCTCTCAAGCTCATATAAGTCCTATAGTTAACCTTGGCTAAAGTCGAACGGTTAACTCGGACTTCGGTGCATATGTATAGTATATAGTATAGACCGAACGGTTAATATTCAGGACCATTCGGTCCATCCGCTACATCAACATTAGTCAACCAGGTTAAATGATTTTATTAATGTTGGGCTATAATTGGGCCAACGTTTAAGTTATTATTGGGCCAATAATCCAGCAGATGATAAAATAATAGTAAAATGATTAAAAGATATTAATTAAAGATATTTTATTAAAGATATTGATAAGCTGTTTATGAGGAACTAATTGAATCTAAAGGTAAGTTTGTTTTTATTGGAGCTGTGCTAGTTTAGGATCCATGGGATGACTTATAAATATAAGGTCAAGGCCAAAAGTCAGGTACGTTCTACTATATCCAAAATACTCAATTGTGATAAACAATCCACTAAATCACACCTAAGCTGAGCGTCAAAGTACCTTTCGCAGGTACCTCACCCCCTGATCAAAAGTGAAAGCGTTCGGAGCAAGTGACTCAAGCACTAGAAGACAAGAAGAATACGTCATAAAGATATATCTCTTAGCCTTACACATACTCATACAAAAACAAAAAGGCTGTCTACATACACCTTATATCATGCATTAGTTTTGTATGTTATTTACATATAAAACTAAACAAACTCTTTCTTTCTAAAGAATTGTTTAAACTCTCTCAATTTATTTTAAAAGAAGGATAATGAACTAGCCTAAAAAAAATCCAAATGATAAATGTATGTTAAATTCATTACGAATGAAATTCTAAACTCAAGGTTTGTTAGACTCAAATTTTCAATTTTTTTTAAATTCAAAATTTAAAAATCTGGATAATAAAAGAAAATATTTTTTTTAGTAATTTAGTAAAAAATATTGCCTATGTTTTTCCTAATTCCATCTCTCTTTTTTTTAGTATAAGTGATTTTGTATTAACTATTTTTCATTATATACAGACAAAAAGGGTTATTGATTTGGAATGGGGAATAGTATATGATTTTGGTTACATTAAATTTAACTGTAAAAGAATTTCCTTTGTATAATTTATTTTTACCCATTTAAAATATAAAGTTATTATTTCATCTGTAATATCAATTTTAAATAGATAAAAAATATTTATTTTTGGGGTAAGAAAATTTAGAGATAGATATATATTTTTTTAATTTAATCAATTAATGAAGAGAACCTAATAATATAAAACAGTGATTTTAACTTAAAGATGGTACAAGTGTTCTTTTATTCAATAAAGCTTAAAGATAGTAACAAAGTTACAGTAATAGTGTGCTGCATCATAATTCTGAGATAAAGCTCCCCTGCTAGTTCTGAGGTTAAAATTTATTTTTCTGCTATAGGAATTCTATTGAAAGACCTTTCTATCATTTCCATGTCACTGCTATAGGGCTTCTAACAGCATATTTACCTGATACCCAAGTAAGTGATCCAAATGATGAGTTTCCAGTAACTGTTGTATTCCCATTTGAAACAAAACTCACCTTATAACTCATTTTTTGACCAGTTTTTCTGAAACTGATATTCCTTGGTTCAACCCTAACAGATACTCCATTTGGTTCTTCCACCTTCACTGCATAAGAAATTTTGGGCTTTCCTACATTTGTAACTACCCTCTTGAATGTCACACTAGCCTTTAGAGCCCTTGTGCCAAATAGCACAGCAAATGAGGGGTAGTTCAAGTCACCAGCTTGAAGAGCTGATTTTTTGGGGCATGTAAAATTACCTTTTGACAATAAAGCAATCTGGGAGGGTGTGTATTTCAGGCTGCACAAGTAATTTAGGTAATCTTTGGTGGTGATGTCATAGACCAATCCTGGATCAGAAGCTCTTTCAGGGTTAACATGGCCTGAACCAAATGCAAAGGGGTCAGCAAGTGCTGAATTTTTTGAACCATAGTCAGCAATTGCAGCACCTTTGTTGTTTGATACAGAAGCAGTAGTCATCAGAGCAGATTTGATGGCTGCAGGTGACCAACCATTGTGCGCAGATTTGATCAAGGCTGCTATACCACTAACATGAGGACATGACATTGAGGTACCTGAGACTATGTTAAATACTGCACTTGTTTTGTCGCTCTTGAGCATGCTTGGACTAGTTATGGGAGGCCAAGCAGCCAAGATGTTCACACCAGGTGCAGTAACATCTGGTTTGATCACATCTCCTCCTACTGCACTTGGTCCTCTAGAAGAAAATGCTGCCATAGCTGGTGCAGGGTCTCCATATGCTGTCCCTTGGAAGGATATTGAAGCTGTTGGTGCTTTTGCTGAGTGAATGTAGCTTCTGATTATTTTACTTGCAGAGGCCCCTAAAGATGTGCCTGGCAAAACATGATGGTCAGCAAAAAGTTCTTCTCCCTGGTTTTCTGAGTTGAGTAGTATCATTCCTGCTCCACCTGCCATCTTTACTTCTTCTCCCTTTGCAGTTCTACTGTTTATTCCACGTTCGCAGGCAACTATTTTTCCTTTGACAAACTTTGGATCAAGAGAACCTCTGGTGCAATACTGTGCTGTCCTATGTTCTTTTGAGGAATTGACATAAACAAGAGGCAATTGGTTAGTTTTCTTGCCCTTGTACAATGATGACCCTTTGAAAAGCTTTCCATTTCCAAGCTTCACTTGAGTTGGAAAGCTCCTATCAGTGTAGCTAGCAGCAACAGTCATGATCCACGGGGCAACATTTCCAACAGTAGAACTAAAAGGGCCTGAATTGCCTGCCGAGCAAGAAACAAAAACACCGTTTTGTGTTGCTCCAAATGAGGCTATGGCAATGCTATCGCTGTAATAAGGTCTGGCACTGCCACCTAATGAGAGTGACAGTACATCAACACCATCAGCAACAGCTTTGTCAATAGCTGCTAATATGTCAGAGTTAGCACAGCCTAAACGCCAGCATACTTTATAAGCAGCTATTCTTGAGGTATACCTCATTCCACTGGCTGAACCACTGGCCAAGCCGAAAAAGCTGGCATTCTTCACCATGTTTCCAGCTGCCGTTGAGGCTGTGTGTGATCCATGTCCTTGAGCATCTCTAGCAGAACGATAGTCCATGGTTTCATTGATCCTTCCTGCAAATTTTTCATACCCTTGAAGAAAGACTCTTGCACCAACAAGCTTCTTGTTACAACTTGAGGCAGAGAAATTGGTGCCTGCTTCACAAGCTCCTTTCCACCGAGAGGGTACTTTGGACAAACCGGTGTCTTGGAAACTGATGTGTTCAGGCCATATTCCTGTATCAAGGACTCCTATGATCACATCTGAGGCCAAGTTAGAAGCACTCCAAAGTCCTTCTCCCTCCTGCAGGCCAAGAAAATGGGGGGTGTAGGTTGTGTGAAGGGTCAATAGTTCATCAGGTAATGCTGCAACGAAGCCATCCACTTGGTTCAAGTACTCAAGCTGCTTATTTGAAAGTTGAGCAGCAAAACCAAAAAGGCTGGTTTCATAAACATAAAGGAGTTGAGGTTCTCCTCCTTCTTCTTCTTCGAATGAAGCTTCAGAGATGAAATCAATGACTGATTTGAACCAAGGTTTTGCCAAGCCTTGGGAATGGACTGAGGCTTCCATCTTGGTCTTGTCCATGTGTACTATGTATGTCTGCTTCTCCACTACTGCTACTGACTTTGTCACCATAAAGGCCAGGAAGAGTAGGAGTGCCCTGAAGTTCATGTTGCCTACACAAAAGTGACAGCAGACAAAAAGAAAACACTTTATATAATATTTTATCTAACAAAATAAAAGTAGTATACTTTTATATAACATGTTCAAACTTCAATGAACTTTTTTTCCTTACTGCATACTTTTTTGTTTGGTTTTTACAGACATAATTCTTAGCAATGCAAACTATCTCTAATCTTTCTTTATGAAGCATATATCCTACTCTAGAAACATATATAACAAACTTACAGGAAAAAATTCCCTATTTGTGTAGATCACACTTTATAAGTATACCATGCAAGCAACATTCTAAACAATACTACTAGAGTAAATGATACATAGCTAATTAGTGTTTACTAAAAAACTAGAAGCTATCAATAAACAGTGACAGAGACAATGGAGGTAGAGGTTCAAACCAATGCTGCAGTTAGCACAAGAACACTAGAGAAAAAGATATGGGGGGTGAAGAATGCTAGTGGTTGCTAACACTGAATCTTTAATAAGCACAAGAAGAAAAAGTTAAAGGCATTAAAATTTTGTGTGTTCATTAAATTGCAGTTCTGCAATGGCAATGAGTCTACCTTTTGTATTCTTATCTTCTACTTCAAGACTGCACCATTTAAGTTCTTATATACTTATTGTGATGGCAACTGGTCCAATGATGGGCCATTGTATATTTAGTGGTGCAAATATTTTTCTGTATTCAGTTGCAAGTTATATTATTGACCATGATAGTTGTTTCCACTTACAACTTTTGCATTATTTTATCCTTTTATGAAGGCCCTTTTAATTTCAGATTGACATTTATAATTCTGACATCATTTCTTCATTATAGAATATTGTGGTATCTTAGAGACAGTTCTAACAATGTTCATGTGGGCCAAAGGCACATCTTATTTTACTTAAGTCAATTAGTGAGCTCTGCAAATGGAAACGAATCTACCCCACCATGGTCTTTCCAACAGAGGATGTTGAATCAGTCAACACCAGTTAATTAAGTTCTAGCTAGTAATTTACATTATGTTGACTAACCAAATACACCTCAGATTGCACCAATGTGGAAGTTCATGCAAATTTTTTCATCTCTTATCTTTGCAACTGATAACATATCCATTATCTTTTGTTTATTTCCTTTAGCATAAATCTCAGATGAAGTTCCTTACATATTGTTATTGAAATTTCAACTAAAGTGAAACTTAAACCTCTAACTCTGACTGAATTACAGTTTATAAACTGTATCTAACTTTGAATTTTTTTACATTTCATTTTAGTGCAGTTGCACCCATTAAGCCACACTAATATCAGTGTGCTTCAAACTGATCCTTTATTCAGTGTATGAAGCTGAAAAAGTAGTTGATTTGATGGCATTGTGGTTGCCCATTTAGTTCAATTTAGTGGAGTCTTTGGAAATCTTTTCAGATCCAGAAGGATGGTGAGTCTGAAATTTTATTAGGAGATTTCTAAGTGGGAAGACAACACTTTTGATCAGCACTCTCACATGCTACAACTATTTACTATTATTGTTTGCTGTTCTAGCTTTCTAAATAAGGGAATTAGTACGTGTCAGCTAAGCAAGAACAGAAGACTCTTTTTGGGACCACAACTTTAGTGCTAGCTAAGTCTTGGAATGTGCTTATGAATGATATGCATTGATGCAAGAATTTTAAGAGCTGAAGATACAAAGAGTTCTCCTTAGTTTGTGTTTTAAAGCGTGTATCACATTTTACACTTTGACATCTCATGTCCACTGGAAAGGTAAGATCAAATTATAAAATATAAATAATGATTTATTAAGAATCTAAGTGTTATTTTAAATCATTGAATAAAAATGAATTTTACTTATTACTTTATATATATATATATATATATATATATATATTACAATTTCAAGTGTGAATCTAAGTTTTACATGAGAAAGTAGAATATTATATAAAGGTGAAGACATGTTAACACATTGTTTTAAAGTTTTTGATAAAGAGTGATATCAATATCTTATGTGATTGGACTCAAGTTTTATTGATGATTAATTAACATGATGATACAAACCTTCTTTTGAGTCAAATCTAAAAGTATTTCTCACTCACTCATTTAGATGACAAATGGGTGTGTCTATTAAGAAATTTGTGAATCAATTAACAATTGCTTCTATTTTTTTTGTTAAATCACTTCCGTAGTCCTTATTTAAGTTGGGTTTTTCCAAATACATTTATTTCTTAATTTTTTTCCCCAATTGAGTCCTTAAAAGTGAAAAATTGACTCAATTGGCTCACTGCCGTTAAATTGGGTTAAGATTAAGTTTTTTATGACCTGATAGTTTGACGTGGTAAATTTTTAATACGTGACATTAACACAGGTTGGTATGTGGAATTTCATTATATTATACATTTAAATATTAGGGTTTGGTGGTGAATTTTAAAATGGGACATATGTAGAGGGTGCTAAATCTAAAGATGAGGAATTATGGATTTAGGGTTCGTTCTTCTTGGATTAAAATTGGCAACCATTGAAAGCACTTGAAGGTTGAAGATGCAAGACGAAAGTGGCAAGACACAAGATGAAAGAATATCTATGGGCCATTCGTGTTTGTCTTTCACTTTCAATAAGTGTCGAAAGCAATTCCGCTATGTCAGCTCTTGCGGAGATGGAGGAAGGAATGACGCATAAGTGATTTGCCATTATGGAGAGAAGTATGTGTTGAGGACTGCAAAAACCAGTAAGAATCGAGGAAAACAATTCTGAAGTTGCCCTAAGTATAAGGTTAGAAGTGAAAATGTTGGATGCAACTACTTCAGATGGTGCAACGATGGTGGATTTGACGAAAGTGTTAGTTGTGAGTTGTTGGAAACAAAGGATGAGAGGTTGCTGAAGAGTGAACAAAATGAAAGTGATAGTTGATCTGGAGAAAGTTGTGATGAGTCTTCAAACGTGAACGAAATTGTTCGTAGGGATTGTTAGTTGGGATTGATAGTGTTCTATGTGTAATGAACATTATTATAGATGTTCATGGGAACGACATGATATGTTGTTGTAGGTGTAATGTAGGACAGTTAATGTATTCTTCCAGTTTAATGTTATTAAGATGTGTTTCAATGTATTGTTGTTGTTGCAGATGTTTAATGAAATTAAGATTTCCAAACAATGAGATGAAATGATGTGTCTGATTTGGTACATTGTGGTTATGTTTTTTGAAGAAGAAGTGGAGGCAATTTGCATTGCTTTTGTTGAGTTAATTCATCAGACATTGAAATGGCAGTATAATCTGTGTAGTGAACCAATTAATAATAACAGTGCATAAAATCTACCATTCATAATTCACCAACGTTAGCTCAGGAAAATGAAATTAACACCAAGCTTTTTAAAGTAACTGCAACAACATTCCCAACACATCTTTTAACTTATCAATATCAGTTTGTAGTAACATTCTGAATTGGTAAAGCTTCAACTTCAATAATGTCTTCAACTCAAGACCCATTACTCAAAACAAGAATAAGTTATTTCCCATTATTCTCAATATTCATTTAAAGATAAAAAACAAATTTGTGATGGACATAAGTAGTACAACAACAATTAATGGCACATAATGTGTAGTCATCCATTACTGATATCAAGATGGACATAATAACATATGCTATATTAATAACAAAATGTAGTCATCCATTACAAAGCTTTGTTCATAGAAATACCAATATCTAGAATACTAAAATATAAAACATTGCTCATACAACAATGCTTTTATCTATTACATTTCCTTTCATGTATTAAAATGTTGATTAGACATGTGGTGCTATGGTTAAGCTTCTTCCACATCTGCTTGACCCTCAGACAATGGAATGGGTTCTTCTCCCTATGGCTGCACAACAGGTTCTTCATTTCTTTTGGGACAACGTGTTATGTTGTGGCCCAATTCCCTACACAACCTACATCTCTTCAGTAATCCACCTTTTGTCATTCTTGTTGAATCATTTTTCATCTCTCACTACTCTAACCTCCTTTTCTTATTAGGTCTACCTGGCAACTTTCTTTTTGATGGAGGCATGACATCAGGATATTGGCTGATTTCCTAGAGGTTCTTTCCATTAATAGGACAAATAATGAAAGAGTAAATTTTTTCATAGGTTGACTTCTGGAACCAAGAAGGTATGTAGTCCTCTCCATCTATGTTCAGAAACCTCATTGTTTCCAATGCATGAACACAAGATATTCCACTAATGCTCCATTTTCTAGAGGAACATGAATATTCATCTATGTTCACCACAAAATTCTCCCCACTTTATGACACATGTTTGACTTCAAATAACTTGTGTACAAACTAACTGTGAACATAACCCAACATTAGTGCAGACCACCTGTGCGAATAAATGAACAAAGAAAAACATATACCAGAATTGTTCAATACTTGGGAATCCAATATTTTGTTAGTTGTGCCTTCTTTTGTAGTCTACTAACTATTTTTGGACAAATTGATGATTGAAATGACCTTACCCTTGACCTATTAGTGGCCCATCTCTTCATCATGTAAAGTCTGATTTCCTCTAACATCTCTTCATCATGTTGTATGGTTGGTAACAGTCCCTGTGAATGAGTAGGCAAGTTAATTGATATTCATTTTCAAACTATGCATATGAAATAAAAGACAATAAATTACAATGCAATTTACCTTATGTTAATCTTTTTGTGTGGCCTGTAAGCCATTCTTTTAGATATTCCTATGTTCCATTTCCTACTAATTTTATCTCTAATATCAACTCCCTTAGCATTAGGATTTTCTCTGAGTGTTTTTTCCAATTTTTTACTTAGCCATTTTGCATTCAGTACGCGCAACTTGTGCTCCCTACTACATGTGTAGGTGTCCACAACAGTCCTCAATTGCCACATATGCACTGCCTCCATGCAACCATAATATGCCATCCAAGGACATTGTCCTTTTCCTCCCACACATTTAAGCCTTATTCTTTTCTTATCATTTTTAACAAATTTGATATTTCTTCCATTGTCTAGTGCATAGGTTTTGATTGCATCCAAGATGTTCTATTTGTCTCTAAAATATGTTCTCACTTCTCATTTGAAATCAACAATAGTTTTAGGCATAGTAAATGTAAAAAATTTCCCATAACCATTTTTGTTGATAGGGGGAACACTATGATAGTTGAACCCAATCCCTATGATAGTGATTTTTGATGATCACAACACATTGATAATAAAAACACATGAATATGTACTGTGGTATATGTCATATGTTGTATGTGTTTATGATTATTGTGAAATATGCACATATTGTGATTGTCACACGTGTTGAACATATAATATATTGATTGTTGCATACTGTGTTAGTAAAGTGATCATAACTTGAGTTTGATAATGAAATGCTGCTGAAATCCAGCCATTCTCTCAAGTTCATTACTTGAAGCTGTTTTAGCTTGTCTCCCTTTAGCTCCTTTCCCCTAAGGAAATCCGTCTGAGTTAGAATTCCTCATCACACCACATCCAAACACTGCCACACATTTCCTCAAACACCTTGCAAGCACCGGAACATCTCCATTTTGCCGCCACTTCTGGT